AGTAGTATTGTTTTTGCCGGAGCCTCTTTGACTACGTGTATTGTAATAATTATTTTTAAAATCAATTGAAAAAAATGACCGTTGGATATATGTAGTGTTGACTAAATTCGATTGGTTTCAGCCAAACTCTAAACTCTTGATTACGTGCCATATTCTCGAACATCGAAATTAACGAAAAATATCACTCTCTACATGGCTTTTATGACTATTGTCTTCAATATGTACGTCTAATATTAACTACTAACCAGAGATGAAAGTATATGTGATCGTTTTTACATAGTCAAAGGAAAGAAAAAAACAACGAGGTTAAGTTTAAATAACAAATTGTTATGTAAAATTCTAAGTTTCTGAAAAAAAGAACGTATTTTTCCGTTTTCGTTATAGGGTAAGCATATTGACACATTTTGAAATGCAGGCGGCAAAGGAATTCGAGACGGAACTGAAGAAGGATCCGGAACCTTCTGGAGAAGAGCCTAAGATTACTACAGCCAGCGAAGAGAAGCAGCAAGAAGATGCTAAAGTGTCGAGCACGAAAGAGAGTTCTTGAATTTTGAGATATGTTTGATGTGGTTGTTTGGAATTTGTTGTAGCAATTTGTTTCCTTATCTCCAAAAACCTTATATGTCTTGAATTCGATTTTGCTATGTTTAGTAATTTTCGTCGATAAGTTATATTTTTTATTTTTTTATTTATAAATTGGTCTCATAAGACCTTACAAAGGTAGTAACTGGAACATAATTTTCAAATTCCGTCGATTCTGATTCGAACGTCTTTTATTTATGGAACAATACTTTATAATAATCCTGAATTATTATTTTTTTTTTATCAATTTCTCTGTTATTTTTTAATATTGGAATTCATATATGAGATTCTAATTGGAACAATACTTTATAATCCTGAATTATTATTATTTTTTTTTCCAAATTTTCTGTTATTTTTCAATATTGGAATTCATATATGAGATTCTGATTTTCATCCTATTTAATTTTCGAAATCAAACTCACTCTTTTTTTCTCTCCAAAAGTTACACTTATAACATTAATATTATTATTTATTTTATATTACAGGTCAATAAAAATAATAAAATACGTCGATTACAATCTGAAAAATTCCATTTCTAAAATTCAGTTTTGGTTAAATTTTATTTTTTTTCTCTTGTACTTTGGCTTGGTATCATTTTACTCTCTTCTACTCTTGATTGTATCGATTTGCCCCCCTACACTTGAAAAATTATCTCAATGTGCCATTCGCTGTTAGTTATCAGATATTTGACCTTCACACCATTTGATCTAAGCTCTGAATTTACAAAAGACGCCATCTCTCCCAATTTAAATAATTATTAGAAAACAAAAAATAAATAATAAAAAAATCAAGACAACGAGAAAACATAGTTCACGACAACAGCCACAATTTATTTTTAATTTTTTAATAATTATTTAAATTGGGAGGGGTAGCTTTTTGTAATTTTAGACTTAGATCAAACGGTATAAAGGTCAAAGATCCGAAAACTAACGGTGAGGACCACATTGAGACATCAAGTAAAGCGGACAAATCGATGCAATCGAGAATAGAAGAAAATAAAGTGATACCGAAACAAATTACAAAGAGAAAAATGTAATTTATCCTTGAATTTTTCCATTTGACTATTTGTTAGTATCCTAGTTGGATTCATACTCTAAAAATCCGTGAGAATCATTAATGTAATGAATCCCATAATTATCTCTTGAGAAAAGCCTTGTGGAATAAGGTCTCTAGAGCACGTATGTGCTTGGGCCCGCATGTGTATAGCTCAACTGATTCTGGAGTAGTAAGTTGGTACAAGGTCCTAGGATCGAATCCTGACAGTCGTAAGTGTGGGAATTTCGACTTCAATGAGGGTTGGTTCCTTGTGGGCACCAAGCCCCGATCTGCTACTCTAACGGACCGTTGAGTCACCATAATTTACATTTCTCTATTAAATACTTGTCGAGCCAAGGAATGAGGCCCTGGGGGCGAGAAATTTCGTCTTTTGGTACAAAATATGTGCTTGAGAATTCAATAAGGAAACATGTTTCTTTTGATAAATGTTGGTGTAGACACGTAAATTTAATATAATTTATAGGGTTAACTGCAAAAAATCCCCTAAACTTTGGACGTTTTTGCACTTTATCCCCTGAACGGAAAAAAGTTGCACGAGCATACCCGAACTTAATAAATTATTGCACCGGCAACTAAAACTTCCATTTTTAGCCACATTCTTCCCTGAATTGTACACGTGCCATTCACACGTGAAAGTAGAGGGGCAATTTCGCCATCTCACAAGATTTATAGAAAAAACTAAAAAAAGAAAAAAAAAAGAAAAAGAAAAAACAAATTGGTCATCTTCTTCATCATTCTCTTGGCAGCCAAACAGAGCAGGAGAATCTCCGCCGCCGCGCCACCACCTCTGGCTTCTGCTCCTCCGCCGCACCACCACCACCACCATCTCGGCCGCGCGTTTCTTCCAGGTCCACCAATTTCAGTCCCCAACCCCTTAGTCTCACTCTCAAATCAGCGCCCCTTTGGCTCCCCCAACAACTCTCCTCTCTTCATTTCCGTACACTTCTCCTTCAACCCTTCTAACCCCACTTTCTCTCTCTTCTTCAAACCTCAATTCGGATTTTTCTCTCTCCGAAAATCCACCTTCTCTCATACATAATCGAGTGGCCTAGCGGCGAACCCAGAAATGGAGATGTCGGATTTGATTCCATCTCCTTCGGGTTTGTTCCACCGGAGTAGCCCGCTGTATCGTGAAGGACCTATCACTGGAAAATTATCGTGAGGGAGAAACCTTCCACCATTGAAACCGCCGGCGGTGGTGCATCAATTTCGGCCCCCGACCAATTTTTTTTCTTTGAATCAGAGTTTGATTCGCCAAGGATTTGAGTTTATGGAATCAAAGCTTAATCAACAATACAGTCCTCAATTTTGTGTTTTTTTTCGGGAGAGAGAGAGAGAGATTGATTAATTTGGTGTGATGTGCTTTCAAGTTACAGTCTTTAATTTCCGATGGACGGTGAAGTAGAGACGGCAGCCGGTGGAGGGAGGCGGCGCAGAGGTGGCGGAGGGAGGTGAAGTAGAGGCGGCAGGCGGCGGCGCAGAGGTGGCGGAGGGAGGTGATGCAGAGGCGGCAGGCGGCGGCTGAGGGCTGGTGTTGACGGGATGAGGGATGATGGTGACGGGAAGAAGAAAACCATTTTTTTTCTTTTCAAGATTTATTTATATTTATTAAAAAGGAAATGAAGACAATGGGTGTATAAGGAAATGACTCATTTAACCCAGCTATATTCACGTGTAAGGCACGTGACTTGGATTCCGGTCAATTTTTGCCAAAAATGGACATTTTGGACATTGGTGCTAAGAATAATAGAGTTCAGGTATGCTCGTGCAACTTTTTTCCGTTCAGGGGGTAAAGCGCAAAAACGTCCAAAGTTTAGGGGATTTTTTGCAGTTAACTCTAATTTATATTATATTAAATTGAATCCCAAAATTATAATTTATCTTGCAAAATAAGTCATGGAGATAATTATCAATTAATTATTGGCCAATAGGATTGTTTCTTCTCTTCCAAGTTATAAGAGATAAATATCAATTTAAAGAGAGCCAATCAAATCGCGCCACGTCATCAAGAAGACTTCATGTAGCACTCTTATTCTACCACTATAAATAGGGATCCTCCCTACACAATTCAAGGCACAACTCAAGAACAAGAAAAACCGTAGGATAAAATTCTCTCTACAATATTCAAGTCGTTCTTCAACAAATTCAAGGCGTTCTTCATCAAACATCAAATCGAGGGCGTTCTTCAACAAATCAAGATCGAAAACATCAAATTGAGGGCGTTCTTCAACAAATCAAGATCGAAGGAAGATTGAGGGGCCAAATCCATCAAGAACTCCAAGATCTTCAAGTCAAAACCCATCAAAGTTCAACAAATCAAGATCGAAGGAAGATTGAAGGGCCAAATCCATCAAGAACTCCAAGATATTCAAGTCAAAACCCGTCAAAGTTCAACGTTCGACACGAGATTCAAGTCGCAAGACCCTCGGAAGACATTATTCAAATCCGAATCAAATCCGGAAAAGATCAAGTCAACGACCCGACTCCGAAATTCAAAGTCAAACGCATATTGTTCTTGAGAGAAGAATCAGAGGATTAAATTAGAGTTTGTAACCCGCAATATTTTTATTTTAATTCAATAAAATTATATTTGTGCAAGCTTTTCTTGTTTGTTTAAATCGCAGATAAGAATTTGTTGCTACAAATTTTGGCACGCCCGATGGGACATCTCTACCTCTCATCTCTTCTCTCTCTCGAAGATCCTCAAAGTGTTGCAGTGACTGCTCTACGTTTGCAATAAAGACTCTCTCATCTCTTCTCTCTCTCGAAGATCCTCAAAGTGTTGCAGTGACTGCTCTACGTTTGCAATAAAGACTGCTACTTCGGATTCATCAAGTGTGGACTTAGTTACAAGGAGTACGGCTAAGAAGCTGCAAGCATCCTCCAAGACTAGCTTGACGCCCCAAACCGTTCAAAAAGGCTTACCACCTCTTGTCAACACAAGCGCAGATGTGGAAGGCTCAAAACGAGAGATTTCACAGCCCATGCCTCATTCAACATCAAACTACTCAGAGATGGCATCCGTCATGACAACAAACGCTACAACTATGGAAGAAGCATCCTCCAAGACTAGCTCGACGCCCCAAACCGTTCAGAAAGGCTTACCACCTCTTGTCAACACAAGCGCAGACGTGGAAGGCTCAAAACGAGAGATGTCACATCCCATGCCTCATTCAACATCAAACTACTCAGAGATGCCATCCGTCATGACAACAAACGCTACAACTATGGAAGAGCAAATTGCAAGTTTGACCAAGGCTATTGAGGGACTCACAAAGCATGTTCAACAACGAGATTCTCAAATTGCCAAGTTGATCGAGAAGATGAACAAAGCCGATGCTAGTCAAATTGTGGAACATATAGAGGCTCAAGACGAAGTCGAGGCATCCACAAAGCAACAGCCAATTGAAAACGAGAAGGCTCCAGCTCAAGATTTTCAAGTTTCTCCAGAATGGATGATTCATGTAGTTCAAGTGATGACGCTGATCAGTGGAACCATCAAAGACAAGTTGGAAGGAGGCTCGAAGTCTCCATCAACCTATGTCAAGCCATACACGCAAATGATTGATGATCTAAGGATGTCAATGGGCTATATACCTCCAACGTTTCAACAATTTGACAGCAAAGGCAACCAAGTACCCCAAGCAACATGTGGCACACTTCGTCCAGACTTGCAATGATGCCGGGACGTATGGAGATCACCTCGTCAAGCAATTCGTCCGATCGCTCAAAGACAATGCGTTTGATTGGTACATTGATTTGGGGGCAAACTCCATTAATAGTTGGAAGAACTTGGAGAAAGAATTTCTCAACCGCTTTTACAGCACTCGAAGAACAGTCAGCATGATTGAGCTCACCAATTCCCGCCAATGGAAGAAGGAACATGTCATCGACTACATCAACCGTTGGAGAAATTTGAGTCTTAATTGCAAGGATCGACTGCCTGAGACATGAGCTATTGAACTGTTCATCCAAGGAATGCAATGGGGACTCCGATATATCCTTCAAGGAATTCAACCTAAAAGTTTTGAAGAGTTGGCCACTCGAGCACATGATATGGAATTGAGCATAACTGCAAATGAAGTCGAAGAACCTTCATTCCAAAAGTCGTATCAGCTCAAAGAAGAATATGTTGAAGAAGAACAAGAAGATCATGAGGACGGGGGCAAGTCTTTTGAAGAAAC